CTGGCTGATTTTGGGAAGTAGACTGCCAGACCTTTCTTCCAGTCTGTCTTTGGACCCTCCGCTGAAATGTGTTCAGTACCTTAGCAGCCCACAAGCTTCCACTGACAGATGGGTGGTGGTTACACTTGAGGTGCATTGGCTGGGAATCAAACCCAGACCTCCTTCATGGAAGGTGAGAATTCTACCACAGAACCAACACTGCCCTTGGTCCATACACTAGTTTAAAGACCTTGAATCTGCTCCTGGAGGCAGCAAGTTAAAAAGTTTTCCATCTAAGAAAGAAAACACCAAGTTTCATTGAGTGTAAGTGAGACCTTAGGTCAGCTGGGGCCTTCTGGTCATAGAGGGCTAAGTGGACTTCCTTGAACCACTGTTTCCAGGGCTGAAAGAAACCTTAAGCCCTCCCTCCCCAAGACTTCTTTAAGTGTATGTGCTGTGGTCTGGCTCCTCAGGTTACAAATGGTCTCTGTTCCTTCCATTTCTATGTCATCCAGGAACAAGTTCAGTTCCTCACTCATTTCTACCCAAAATCCATGCACACTGAACATTGTACATGCTGCCATAAATCTACTGAATATTTAGAAGGTTATGGAGTGGGTCTTAGGCTGGGTTCTCTAAAGGAGCAAAACCAGTGAAGCGTATCTATAAGTATATACAGAGAGATTTATTTCAAGGAAATGGCTCATGCAATTGTGGAGACTGGCAAGCCCCAAATCTGTGAGTCAGGCAGCAGGCTGGTGGCTTCTCTTGACTCATGGGGTAACAGGGGCTGACAAATCCAAAATCTACAGGTCAGGCAGCAGGCTGCTGGCTCACGGGGTTGCAGGAGCTGGCAAATCCAAAATCTTTAGTTCAGGCAACAGTTTGCTGGCTCATGTCCCAAGAACCAGAGGTCAGAGGACGACGAGATGGATGCAGGATTGAAAGAAGGCATGAGCTTTGCCAGAATATCCATATATATTGGATGCAGGCCACACCCCCAAGGAAACTCCCCTTCCAACTGATTGGCTGCTCACATCAGATCACAAAACGGAGGATGATTATGTAATATCTGCCAAACCACTGAGAGTCATGGCCTAACCCAGTTGACACATAACATGAACCATCACAGAGGGGGTCACATGTCCCTGGGTGGTGCAGACGGTTTACACTAGACTACTAACCTAAAGGTTGCTGGTTCAAACCTACCCAGCAACGCCACAGAAGAAAGGCCTGCTGTAAATATTAGAGCCAAGAAAACGCTATGGAGCAGTTCTACTCTGCTCACAGAACACCCGGAAGGGGTCCCCTGACACATCGAGTGGCCTTCTACCCTTGCTGCTTCCACTGTACTCCTAATTTTCCTCTTTTATCTTCTGGGTCTCTCTCCATAAAAACTCATAGGTCTCTCCCCTTTAACATGCAGAACAGGGTCCCTATATCCAGGTTGCTGCCTGTCTCCACTGCTGCCCCAAGCTGGCTGATCAGGACTTTTCACAAGGGCAATGGACTGGGTATTATTCTAAAGAGAAGCTCTCATAAGGTCTCCTAAATGGAGAAGAAAAATCTTCACTTGTTTTAAATAAACTTTCCACACATTGCCTAATAGTTATAACTCACATCTACACGGTACTCACCAGATACAGATCCCTGTTTGAAGAGGAGACACATTAAAATTCACAGCCACCCATAATTTAACGCTGAGATGTTAAAAGATTTGTCCAACCCACTCAGCTAGAAAGTGACAGAGCTGGGATTTGAACTCAGGACAATTACAGCCAGCCTTGCTTAGGGGGCGCCTCACAGCATTATCCTGCCTTTGGCTGCACCGCATACCCAGGCCAAAATAGCCGCACCTATGGAGTACAGCCACAGCACTTGCATTCCATTTACAAGGACAGTTTTGAGTTAAACCACAGACGACATTTCTTGTTGGTGAGGCTCATTTTTGAGACCCAAAAGGTCACCAGGAACGGAACACTTGGCTTCACTCCCTTCTTTCTCACGTTTCCTGTGGGAGATTACATGTGACCTCCGGCACCATGGGGAGACGCTGATCATCCTTGGCGGCTCAGATACCTCATCTGCCCACACCTCACCGGGCGAATGTCACCCGCGCGGTCACTGATGTGGTCTCACGAATTAGGGAACCCGAGTGTAAGGATGGCTCTGATTTAGGATTAGAAGGACCCTGCAACCTCCACCAGCCTCTGGCCGTTATGGGAGAGTGACCTGGAAAATCAAATGCAGGGCAGTGTCCCAAAATATAGGAGCCTTGTTTGAGGCACAGTCAAACCTATTAGCTTGAGAAATTGGTCTGGAAATCTTATTAAAAGAGACAAATCATTCCGCATTTTCTCCAGACTGAAAATATTGGGGGTAATAGACTTTCCCTGATGCCTTGGATCCATGTACTGCATGTCAGGATCCCAGGCAAACGCCGGCGAGGCAAAATTCAATGCAGGTGATAAAGGCAATTATTTTTTTTTTAATGGGCAGTTCTGATTAATTCCGATTTCTCTGGCCAGCCTCAGACTTATCTGTACCAGCCCCTCATTACTGTGAAGGTTGCAAGGCGGGAGAGCCAATGGCAAAGAGAAATGAAGTTCAAATTGCCGATTTGTCATTATTGCACAGCTCAGCAGATGACTGTCCCGCCTCAGAGGCCCCTGTGACCAGCCTCCCACCCCCACGCATCTCCTTTCTCAATATGTTCAATTAACCCCTGAGGGAGACGTTAGCCTTGCATGTCTTTGCTATTTAACAGGGTGATAAGAAGAATTCTTCAAATTTACATGTTCACTACTGTCATTCTTGCTATTATTTTTGTTGAGCATTGATGAGTTCAATAATCATATGAATAGCTGGAATTTAAACCATTTGCTGGAGAGTGGGTTTGATTCAGGGCGGCTCTTCAGGTTGCAGATTAAACCACACCCTGTAGGGTTCTCATGGCTGGGACCATTCAGAAGAGATTGCTAGGCCTTTCTTCCAAGACACCCCTGGATGGGTTTGAACCTCTAACCTTTCAGACAGTAGTCTAGTGCTTAACCATTTGTGTCACCCAGAGACTCTATCTGGAATTTAGTGAGTGCTTATTTCACACCTAGCACTGTTCTAAGGGCTCTATTTACATGCATTATCTCACTTATCCTCAGAACAATTCTATAGGATGGGTTTTGGCAAACTTTTTCTATAAAGGGCCAGATAGTAAATATTTAAGGCTTTGCAAGCTATATGGTCTCTGTCACAATTACTCAATTTTGCCGTTGTAGTATGAAAGCAGCCATAAATGATACGTAAAGGAGTATGGCTGTGTTCCAATAAAACTGTTTTTACTAAAACGGGCAGTTGGCCAGATTTGGCCTGTGGGCCAATCATGCTGACCGCTGCCATAAAGTAAATAATATTATCCCTAAGCTAGCATTTTGGTCCCACAGCTAGGAAGGTGGGCTCCGTGTGCTTTTCTCTCTCCTTCTCCCTCCGCCCTCCCAGCTCTTCCCTTCTGTTGCTGGTTCTGGAGGAAGGAGAGAATATAAGAAGTTCTCTCATGTGACTTCTCAGGGTGAGTTGGTTGCTCTCTTTCAACGAAGAGGAGAGTACTCGTTGCCTATCATGAAATCCCTGCATCTGTGGT